ATAGCTGGATAGCAATCTGTTATGACGACTCTGGTACGGAGTGTGCCAAGAAATAGGTGAATGACCCGCGTCTATAGGCACCTGGTGAGGTATGAGTCTCAGGGGGAAACTAAATGCCACCTTCAGCACATCACTTACCACATAATCAATTTCGGGCCCGTTACCGCGAACATCACGTGATTAAACAATTCCTTACCTCCAGAATCTTGTATTGAAGGAGAGAAAAAATCTAATAAAGGAACACCAATAAGTTCAGCATTTATTAATATATATATATATATATTTTTTATCTAAATTAATAAATAAAAAAGATTTCTAGATTAAAATGCTTTCAAAAACCTTTTTATAATTAAGAGTTTTTTTTATTTATTTTACAATTAAATATTAACAGAATGCGATCAATTTCGAAATGTGTGCTGCCTTTATGTTTGTGTGTGTGTAATATATAAATGAAATGAAAGAATTCCCAATTTTTATCACAATAAATTAATTAAAACTTGTTTTAAAACACATATAGTCAACATGTCAGTTCAGTTAACAAACTCATCATTTATTCCTCAAAAAATCTCTCGGGCAAAAATCTGCATTTTTGTAATAACCCAGATTCTTAATAAATGGGAGGTGACTGATATTAAAAAATCAATTCGATTTCTTAATATAGTTCTCCATCCAAAAAATATTGACGTGATTCGAATTTTATATCATTCGAAATTTAAATCTCAAAAAGAAATTTTTTACATTTCTATAACATTTTTTCAGTAATTAAAATTATAATACTAGTATATTTTCGAACTGTTACGACTCTAACATGCGACTCTACGGTGCCCCATCAATTACTTTGATAAAAGAGCAATTGCTAATAGCTAAATTTCATTTGACCGTTTATCGAATCGAGTCGAACCTCAACGGATAAAACTGCTCAAACTAAAGTTATAATCGCTTTTAAGATAATTAATTCGGAAGCGTGATAATCTCTGATTAAATTTCTCTTTTATTCTCCAGGTTAACATTAAACAATCGCGTCAAGAAAAGTCATAAATCAATTTATATATATTCAGAGTGAACAATAAATAATTAAATATGATAATACATAAAAGATGCTGAAGATGATGAAATTAAGTAAAAACTTATAAATATCTGAGATTTCCTCAGATATATAATATAACAAAAATAAAAGATTTGAACAAATATTGGTTAGGTAGGTTAGATAGTCAGGGTCCGTTGACAGGTTGTTTGGAGCCCAGAGGTAAAGCGTGTCGCTTTTGCCATAAATGAAATATGTAAAACGACGTTTTATTTTCTTATCAATAAAAAGTAGTCTTGAATATTTTATCTTTTATTAATAAAAATAACTTTAATTTATAGGAACCACTGCAGGCCTCTAAGTTTTCTCTGGGCCTTAGCTCTTACCGTTCCCGATCGTCGGTAGAATGAATGAAGAATTATTTAGAGCTGTCAACATTTCTACAACGATGAAGAATCAGCCCGCAGCATGTTCAACCAAACATCCCTTCTATAATGCAAGATTTTCTTTGTTGAAAATTTGATGCTCTTTTAGTTGAAGGTCTTCGAACTTCTCTTCCAGTTTAAATTAGTCAATCGAGAAATTTATCGCAAAGATCGATACTTAGTTTCGGCTCACATCGATCGATAGCAAAACGTCGAAGAAAATTAGCAGATATAGCATTTTAGTTGGCATACAACGGGGTAATTCGAAACAGAGAATTTTTAATTACAAGATCTCGAAACCTGTCAGAAAAATATGTTAATTTTCTACCATTTAGCAGATATTCCTTCTTAAATAGTTAATTAATTCGAGTAAATTTGATTAATTTTACGCTCGTAGCGGGAATATTTGTTGTTGTTTTAACTTTAAACTAAATGAGACGTCAATTGTGGTGAAAGGATTTTAACGAGATAAAAATGATTATGTCCTCACCAGATGTTCCTCTGCAAAGTGATACTTTTCTGTTGCATCGAATAAAGAATTTTAAATGCCAAATATATCGATTTAAGATATATTTATAAGATTATTTATAATTATTATTACAGTCATCTTTATTAGATTATTTGCATCCGTATCAAATTACGTTAACTGATGATGATCGCTCTTTCTCTTAGAAGATCGAGCCTCTACAAACGATGCTATCAGAGATATTTAATTAGTTTCCTCTACGTTAATTAATCTACTATAATAATAATTATTTGGATATTTTTGATCTAGAAGCCAAATATCATCATAAATACGATTAAGAGATGAACGTAAAATTACAATATTGTCATTTCATTGCCATTACCACCATTATCAGTTTATCATCATGGATAATCCTATTTAATGTCTTGAGAAACGTTGGTAATTAAATCAAAGCAAATTTATTCAATTTAATTTTCTACACAATTTGATAAGATAGCCGTCTAATATGACATCATTAGTTTTGCAACCGTTATTAAAACGTTTAAAATACATTTTCCAAATTTTGCTTGTTGCCATTTGAAAATTGACGAAGAAAAAATTTGATATATATTAATTAAAAATCGTGGAAAAATTAATAACGTAAATATTTCTTTATGGCTTTTCAAGTCTAATTTGAAAATCCTTTGAGTTTTTCATACAGTTTTTATAATAAAAAATATGTTTAAAATTTTTTTGAAGTCTATTTTTCATTATGAAATAACTGAAATTTTCATTAAGATTTCTTCGAAGAAATCCTTTGGAATTATTTTCATTAAAAAAATTTATTTGATGAGAAATTCTTTAAGGCTCTTTTAATGAGAATCCTTTCGGGGACGAGATAAAGGACTTCAACTTCCAAGAACTATCTAAAGAAAACATGTGCGTAAAATTCTAGTATGGCTAAGAAAATTTAAGAATTTCAAAATCCTTAATTTTATAACACAACTTAATAAATAGAAAGAAGCAAAGTCCTTTAACTTTTCACTTGATGAAAGAAAAATAATCTTTGTTGTTAATAAAGCGTAATTTTGAGTTTTTATTTGAATCCTATCATAAAATTCTTTGCGCGTTTCTAATTTTGATAACCTTCGTTTTATAAAGCATCTTCATTAGGACCAATTAATGAATATTATCTTTCAATTTTCTGATTTTTTTATGAAATTTTAAAAATTTCTTTAATCTTTTATAAGGATGCTTAAGAAATAATTACTTTAATGAGATTCATGACTCTTTAAATGATAGATTCTATGAAACTTCTTGGACATTAATATAACTTCCTTATTGATAAAAATCCTACGAATCTTCATCACAATTCGTTTATCGATAATTTTCTTGAGATTTTTCGAATTTTTATTAGGAAATCTTCAACAAGGAATCCATTATCCATTAGAAATTCTTCGAAATGTTCATTACGACTCTTATGTTAAAAAAATCTTTCGAAACCCTTTACGAACTGAAGAATCTAGTTAGGGATTTAAACTGATTTCAGTTATAAACCATTTGACGTCGAGTTAATATATTAAAAAGCGGAGGTATTTTTCTCAGCGCCGTGCAGACAATAATCTCATCCAGTCGACAACCCACCCTGATCATTCGATAATTAAACAGCGACGAGAAAGAAAAGAAAAGAAAGAAGGTGAGGTAGTAGGGAAAAAAACCTCCGATCAATTCTAAACGCCCTAGACTCTTAAAGCGTCTAATAACGTGGCTTTAATTTGGACGGTGATAGCGGAGGGGGAAAAGAAGCTAAGAGGGATAAGAGGGGGACCGGGTAAGACGGGTTAATAGCTGCTCAATTACGTACGTCATTTCTTCTGCGTATTTTCCTACTAAGGGGGAGAAAAAGCAGCACGTGATGAGTGTTGAAACTATTTAACTGTCAGTCCCTTTGGAAGTTTGATAAGAATATCTTCAATAACCAAATGCGGTGTTAAATACTACTTAAATAATATTATTTTAAAAGGCAAAAAAGAAAAAAAAAGAAAAATAACTCTTTATGGAAAACGTTTATTCTGTAATTTGTGAAAAAATAATTATCTTAAATATAGTAATTTCGTTCCACGAAATTGTTCTCTGTCCTTCGGCAGGTGTACACAATTTTGTGTCAAATTTATTATTTAGTTTTTAGCATTTTTGAAGGGGAAAATATGTCGTTTAAATGGAACAGTTAAATTTTTCTATTGTAGTTCTCTTCGTCGTCGAGAAATTAAAATCATCTAAATCTTATAAATGATTTATTTTTCCAAATAACAAATTTATTTTAATAGTTTATAATTTACATGATTTATATATTGAAAGATGGTAAATTTGCTTGAAATCATTAACGAAGTAATAGTTTCATAAGACGATAAAAATAGCATAACTGCGACAACAAAACAAGCGGGCCTTCCGAATTCAAGCAAGATATCATGCAAAATACATATTAAATTACAATTAATTAAATATNACAGAAATATATGAAGATATGTTACGAATTTAATCATTTTAATTATTCGGTTCATAACTTACGAATTCAATATAAAAAAAGAGTCTATAGAGGTATTCTAAAAATGTAATCAATCATAAAGTAATTTTTAAGCATTTAAAAATAAGAAAAGGTTAATTACTTGTACGTTTAATATACGTGAGTATTGTTTGTAAAGAGTATTTTGTAGGGAGCAGGTGATAAAGATCCCTGAGATCTCTTCCTCCCATCGATACACTAGAAGTATACAGTAAAGACTCTTTCTCAGTCACTCGCTTCAACCTCAACACGCCATACAAACCATCAACATCGTTACCTAAACAGAATTTTGTTTCTTATCACCAAACCAATATATCGAATGGAGTGGCGAACGAACAAAGAAACCATGTGTTACTCTTTTACGTGGCGACATCTTTTCTTATTTTTTTCTAATGGAGATTAGGCCTAACAACGAGAGAGTAAAATCTCGTATATAATCGATACAAGGATGGAGATGAAGTCGAGTTTTCGAAACGATTTTACGCTCTCCACAAATTCTATAGTTATATATAGACAAAAGGGGATAGAAAAAAGCTTACTAACCGGGTGACGAGAAGGGCCACCTGTTTCACGACCCACCTGCTGAAAATTGGACTTGCCGGCCATCTGCTGCGTGTCCCGGCGTCATCTGCAGCTCATAACATCCTGAGTTATCTGTCCCGTCGTTACAGCAGGACACCAAATTGAGGGGGATGTTTTCTCTTGCGCTTTCTTAGCCAACATGTTAAGTAGAGCCGTAACGCGCCAGAAATCGTAACATTGTTGCCAGGCTCCCGATAAAACAACAGAAAGCCGCCATGGCGGATGACGGAGCCATGTACGCATGCGTCGCTACAAAGTAATCCTTTTGGTCAGTTTCGTAACTAGAAGTAAATATATATTTTTTTCTTTTCAATAATTTTTCCGATATTTTCTACGACCGACTTTAGCAAATTTTAGTTTATTTTTTTGTTAAAATTATTATTTTTGTTCTCTCATACAGATCCTATACGATCGAAATATAATATCTGATATCGATTCGCTACTACTAAACGTAGTACCGATTATTCGATACAAGTTCATAATATACTATCGCAAATGCGGTGAATGGTAGAGTAAGTATGCCTTATATTCGATTTTTACGAAGTTAAATCGTGTAAAAAACTGAATATTTTTTGTTAAATGCATCATTTGAGAATGATATAATGCTATATATACAGGAGAAAAAATTTTTTTAACTGCTTTAAAATTTCCTAAAATAATTTAACTTGTTACTTTATATTTTTGAATTATTTATAAATATTTAAACGAATACTTTAAAATTTTATTAAATATTAAAAACTATTTNTAAATACCTAAACATAAACCGAAAAAAAGTCTTTCAATTATTTCCTATCAAAACACGCGATTCAATTTCGGAAAGTAGTGATAAAAATTTAAACTTTTCCTTTCTTTCTAGTTCCTTTATTCATCATTAATGTTAAATTTCTTACTTAAATATAAATAGATAAAGAAAAGTAGAAAAAGAAAATTGTTAAAATAGTTCAAAAAAATCAAAAAGGTTCCATATTTAAAATTAGTTATGTACATTTATATAAAGCTGAATTAAGTATACAATATCGCTTCATAGTCAAATATATTAGATTCGAAGAGGAAAGGAGACAAACTAACAAAAGATACCAAACTATGTCTAGAAGGTAACGAGAGCTTTTGCCACTGGCATTGGTCGGTCGTGTGTGAAATATTAACTCTGCAGAAAGAAGAATAAAAAATAAAAAAAAATAAAAAAAAGAGGACACACCTGCCTAGTATGCGATCAATGCTTTTGTGCATTACTTCGTTTTTTCATCCTTAGTTATTATCTAATATCTTCGTATAACCTTCCCCAGAATTTTTCAAGAAAAAAGCACTTAATAACAAGAATTGGGTTATCTAATCTGTTCTTTAAAAATAACTAGCTAATCTCCCAGTTTTAAAAATGATTAACTGATTAGTTAACCTAGTTTAATTACTTTAATCAATCTACTTTAACTAGATAACTTTAAATTTAACCGATATTTTCTTAAATATTATGCTTGCAGTTAATAGATTAACTGAGCAGACTTCAAACTTAACTGATTAATAAATTTATTTATTAATTAAGCTTATTTTAATTGAATTAAGTTGTATTACGTTAAATATATGAATAGTTAAATCTACTTTTTAAATTGTTTTATCAGTAGGCCTATTCAGTTAACAAATTAGTTATGTAAACTAGGTTAACTAGATTAATAGTTAATATTTCTCAGCAGCTCTTCATAACCGATTAATTAATTGACGAATTAGGTTAAAACAATTAAATTATTTTAATTTAATTAACATAATTATACTAGGTTAACTGAATAAAGAATCAATTTACGTTTTCATAAAAATAGCGCTTAAGAACAAGAAATGGTTTAATACTCAGTTTAGTTAAACAATTCTCAAGTTGATCTTCTTATTCGTGAACTCACTTAAATTCATATAAACTGAGAAATTTTATATCAACATCTTCATTATTTACTTTAAATTATCTTTTTATAATCTATTGGCATGCGTTTGTTGGTATTCTATAAACGAGTTGAGAAAGTATCATAAATGTATTTTTTTCACCCTCTCTACGAAAGATAATGGAATATTCGATTAAAATAAAGATTTTACGCAATTTTTCATGAGAAAAATCCAACAAACACTATATGAAACATTAAAGAAATATCATTCGTTTCGGAGATGGAAGAAAAATTCGATGCATGTTGCGATAATGATTCGCTATCTCAATCGTGTAACAGCTTTAGCAAGTAGTCAATGGAAAAATTATTGGTTCCTTCATTTAAGTCGAAATTTTTCGAGAAAATTATAAAGAAAAATAATTATCAAGCTCTATACTTTCTCAAAATCAAATATTTTTATCGTTAGGGAAAAAAACAAATTAATTTGTAAATTAATATGAAAACTGTAGTTTTTAATCGTATCAACGTTATCATTTTTAACTTTTTTATTCTTAATATGTGTTCGGAATTCGGAAAAAATTGTTTACTTTCGTAAAATATTGCGATAAATTTAGATATCGAATATTATTTGATGTGAGTATGCAGTTTCTACTATACTTGGAACTTAAAACTTTCAATATTTTATAGTATAGACTATATACATAAGTTAAATATGTCAAATAATGAAAAATCATCGTTAAAAGTGCATTTATTATAAAAAATATTTTAAAAGAAATAGAAATATTTTCTAAAATTATAAAATATACCAATTTTACAAATTTATTGAATGAGAATGGAAGTTACTTAATAAAAAATTCAAAATTATTTTAAAAATTTTCATAATATAAGCAGTCCTCTGCGATATATGAAAGAAATCAAACGTAAAAGTATTACTTGGCAATATAGCGATTGCAGAGCGATTGGTTAAGTAATGGGGTAAAAAAAGGCGGAGAAACGTCATATGCCGCCTATCTTCGTTCTTTAACCAATCGTCTTTAAGATGATTATACCGCCAATCAATCAATCGTTTAAAATGAAATCTTACGTGAACCTCAGAGGACTGCCTATGTTCATTAACTATATGAATATTAACTTACAAATACTAAATTACTAAATTTTAAAAATTCTTATAATTTAATAAATTATTACTTTTTTCTATAAAAGAAACATATAATAAACATAAAAATTGTAGGGATTGATAATGTTTACAATATACAAACAGTAATATCATTGACATTTATAATACAAAAGATACTGTAGTCATCATTAACGTTTAGTAAAATTAGCTTTTAGAATGTCAATATCCAATGTTAGGATATGCAAAAAGTAACACACAAAAAAATTTGTATCGCATAGCGAGTGAAAGGAAAACAATCTTCTAGTCACATGACACATTCTAACTCTATTAGAGAAAAGTGGCCTGCGAGATAATCGGCTCCTGCAGGGCATTGGAGGACAATGGCGAAAAAACGAAGGGGGGAATCGAAGAGGGAAAGACTTAACGTAGGGAGGAAACGTAACTTAATTTCCGAGTGTGACGGAAACCTTGGCGCTCCAGATTTTTTTCACTTCTTTGCCGCAAACGTAATTACGAAAAGTAAATAAAGTCGCGGAAATTACTTAATGTGAGACCAGTTTTTTCTTTTTTTTTATTTTTTTATTTTATTCTAGAACGACCCGTTATTGTCGATCTATCTTGTATTTTCAAAGTAACCAGGAAGAGAGAAGAGAGAGAGAGAGAACAAATTTTCGTGGCTAGACTAATCCCTATCATCAATTAACTGTTCAAATTATAATACATATATACGTTTAACTTTCGAAATTTTTTTTAAAAAAAGTTAATTAATTACTCAAATTGATGCTGTTTTTGCAACTCGTTATCGTTGATAACACAGCATTTAATAAAATATTCTGTTGATAATTGCATAACGTTTAAGCATTTAATTATTGAACTGTATCGAAAACATAACCTCCCGTTCAAATTAAAATATCTACGTTTAATTTCAGAATTTTTTCTTCAAAAATTGGCAATTAATTACTAAAACTCTGAAGTTTTTTTTATCTCATTATCTGAGATAATACAGCTTCTATAAAACATTCAAATGATAATTCCACAGCTTAATATCACATTTGAACTATTAATTATTGAACAATGTTAAAAATATTGCAGTTTAGATGATAAAGTTTTATTGAACTTCGAAAGAAAATTAAAGGCTACTAATTAATAAAATTTAATATTTTTAAACACATTTTTGTAGAGGATACACTATTTAATCAGTTTCTGTATAAAACAGCGTTTAAATATTTCACAAAATAGAAAACTACAACAAATTAACTTAAATTTACGTTTAAAAACTTAATTACATAATTTGGCAATTTTTAATTCATTATTACAGAAAATACAACATTTAATAAAACTTTCCACTTATGTTTATACAAAGTTTGAGTATTTAATTATTGAATAAGCATAGAAAAAATAACAGTTTTCGAGTAATAAAAACAGATTCAGTTTAATAAAATATCCTTCCAAACTGCAACCATCTGAAAAAGTGAAGTAAATATATATATATATATATATATATACACATCTAGAAATTCGTATATTTTATACCGTGCGGCTATAAAATATTAAGCTTGCGTTTACAAACTAAAAAATATTAGAAAATATAATGCTATACAATACGCAATATCTGTAATAAAAATATATAAACCAACGTTTTCAGATATCTAATCGGAAAGGCAGATTTCTGTAATAATTCTATCGAGTTGTGTACTTAAAAAACTGGAATTCTAACGATAACACGAGGGAAAAAACGTACTTAAAAAACTAAATTTATGTTAATAAATAAAAGATTTTAAAGTGAACCATTCAAAATAATCATAAGAGATATATTAAATAACTAAGAAAGATGCATTTTAATAATTAATTTAAAATATTTATAAGTTAAAATTAACAGTGAATAATGAATTTTCTCTCTCTGTTTTTAAATTTAAAAATTCGATGAGTAAAATTTTATGTATTAATCTATAGCATTAATTCAGCCACTTTTCTTTTATTGTAACGTAAATTTATATTTTTAGTATAAAATATATTTCTTAGTTATTATCATGAATAAATAATTTGGAAGGAAACATATCTATAAATTTGTATTAGTAATTAAATTTACGTTAATTACTGAAATTATAAATGAATAAATCAAGATAAATTGTTTAAAATCGAGTTAAAATATACAATATTTTAAAAATGTTATAAATAAAAATGGTGTTTTTAAATATATTTTTATTTTAATCAATTTCATTTTAATTAAATCAACAAAGAACAATTAATAAAATTTTAAAATTCCATCATTTTAATTATAATCACTCTTTTGTTTTGGCAGAGAAAGTTATATTTTAAGACTATTTAGCATCAATATTATACGATTATGAAAATAGAGATGACAAATTCTTACAATTAAAAGTATGTAGAGTTTTGTTGTTAACTAAATGAAGAGAATGAAAATGCTTTTAACGAGATAAGAAAAAAGACGAAAGATCCTTTAGATTATAAGAATCAAGGATCATTAAGATGAAGGTGATAAAGGATTCTTGAACGAAGAGATGAAAAATATGAAGAATCCTTATAATCGTGAAAATGAAGAATGATAAAAGATAGGAAGAATTCGTGATTGTTACGATGAAAAAATCAATTCAAGTAT